GTAAATTGTAGGCTTCGCCCCTATACCCCCTCCGAGTGGTTATTAGCAACTCTGACGATGCCCACTTACTCTCAGCTCGTCGGGGACATCAGACCGGACATTCTCGTCCGATATGATGTCCAGTTTCAAGCAGGCTGGGGAAGACGCCTCCCTTCCCCCTGCTTTGAGATCCAGAGCCGCGGTTATTCTTGCTCAGCGACGATCTGGGCAGTTTAAGATGTAACTCAACCGCACCTGTGACGAAACGTAAAATAAAATTTACATTCACCAGTTTTGTTCTGTATTAGGCCTGTCTCTTATACACATCTTACCAGTGTTGTGAGTGTGACATGGTAAAGTGAAAAAAGAAAAAGAATGATCAAACACGTACATGTACAATATCATTGCGATAAATTTTATTAAAATTAAATCATGTGACGGACTCAAAGTATACTTTGTCGAAAATATATCCACCACTTACTAAACGCTTTAGGAGAATATCTCAAAATGATATTCCTACTTAATTCAACCTGTTAATGGCTTCTTGTAATTTTTCCAAAAGACTTTCTTGGGGATAAAGCAAAAAGCCAGTAAATGAACAGTAGCCAGCTGTACCAGAGTTGTGAATTCCATAGCTACTGCCAGCCTTTAAAACGACGTCAACGACATCACCTTTAACCAACTTGAGTGTGATCGTATTGCTCGACATCTCGTGGGCATTGTACCCATTGGACCAGACGCAGAACTGTTCTATGTCATTCTTGTGCAGACAACCAAAGGCAGCGCTATCTGATGAAAGCTTGCTCATTAGAGTCACGGAAAAAACGTAGGTTCCTGGAATGCTGGCAGTGAATTTGCCGTCTCCTGGATTGTAGTCATCGCCGATGTTGGTCAAGACTGAATCAAAGACGATACGTAGGTTTGTGTACGTCACTGAATCGAGGTTAGATGTGAACTTGGCAGTAAACGCTGATTCTGTCTTGTTGGTAGGTTCGGCTGCTACCAGCATCATAAATGTGGCAACCACAATAGCACATGTAAACACAGCCATTTCTGTGGAGAAAACAATATAAACAATTTTTTTAATGTGACTTTAAAGGAAGAGGAAACAAAAGTCAAAACTATTTAAGACGAGGAAATGATTTATAGCTAAAACCATTGATTTCGCTGTAACAGAGTGTGCAACTCAGCGATTTGAAGGCAAATTTGCTATTTGTAAATGTTTTCAAGAGATGATGAATAGCAATAAGGATTACCAAGAGATTGTAACGTAGGCAGACAATTTCCACTAATGTCCAAAACCTGTTTACCCACCGCTCCCCACCCCACCCCAACACACTAGACCTTCCCCTGTCAATTATTATCATTCACATAATTCGTGCATCCTAAATACCACAGTACAGTAAGGTAAAATACACTATGCAGCGCTAAATAAATGTAGTTTCTCAAAAAAACTTGTTAAAATTCAGTAACTGTTTATGATCTTTATTGCGTAGGCCTATAACGTCAACAGTTCCTTGTAGAAAGTCGTTCGGTTGCATGCATTATGCGAATATTTTGTCTAAAATTGGTACTGCAAATAAGGTACAGATACGATTTGCTGGTTTTTCTAATTAAAAAAAAAAAATTAAACTTCATTTGACATTTTACCTCAGCCTCAACTTGTTCTTATTTTGTTTTTAATTTTTAAGTGATTTCAGCCTCAGTGTTCTTATAAAATGTGTTCTTATAATTAAAAAAAAAAGTGTAAGCCAATAAAAACAATCAACTACGGTAGGCCTACATGAAAAAACAGAACAAATCATTCGTTTAAAAATAAAGAAACGTTAATTCTGTTTTAATACTGTTTCTTTGGCCTATTTAAATTGTTACCGTATTTGACCCTTGATTAGTTTGCATCTTTAATTGTAAATTCAAATTATTATAGATCTAATAGATTTTTCTTTAATAACTTATATTCGGTTTTATATATTATTTTAAATTAATTCATTTTGTAAATTAAGAATTGAAAGTGTTTTTTTTCCCTTATCTGTATATTTTTATTACTATTTGTTTGATTATTTCATTAGGGCTACTTACAGTAGTCTAAATTTATTTTATATTTACTTTAATCAATTAATTTCTTTCTCTCTTTTGTCTTGTTTTACTATGTGTATTGAGGGTCCCTAATGACCAGTGATCAGCTTCGGCTGCATGGACCACCCTTATCAAAGACTATTGAAATATAAATGAATAACAAAATAGAACAAGCAGTAGAGTTTAATCTAACACGTGCCTTACAATCTGATTGTCAAAAGGGGTATATATAGTAAGAACATTTTGAGCCTGAAATCAGCAAAAAAAAAAAAAAAAAAAAAAAAAAAAAAAAAAAAGACGCTGAGCCTGGGAATAATGCTGCTGGTTCTAAAAAAAATGTACATACGTATTGTGTGAAAAGAAATTAATTTAAGTGCAGACTTGCAAATACAAAAAGGAATACCATTATAATAATATCGTAAACAAAAGAAAAATGTTGAGATTAAAATAAAAGTCCTACCTTTTATGTAATCGTCCTTTTCTTGCTCGACACGACAATCTGGAGGAAGTAGAGACTGTTGTGAAGATTTTATGTCCCACGTCTGCTTTTTATACCACCTGAGCTTGGGCCCTGAGGTGTCGGGTATCTACTTAACAGTAAACGGAGGTACGGTTTCGCCTGGTACAGATTGCTCCGTCCAGGTACGAAGATAATTAGAAAGATATGTGACACTTCCCACCTGTTGTCTACTTCAGGAAGGCCGTAACAGAGTGTGCAACTCAGCGATTTGAAGGCAAATTTGCTATTTGCAAATGTTTTCAAGAGATGATGAATAGCAATAAGGATTACCAAGAGATTGTAACGTAGGCAGAAAATTTCCACTAATGTCCAAAACCTGTTTACCCACCGCTCCCCACCCCCACCCCAACACACTAGACCTTCCCCTGTCAATTATTATCATTCACATAATTCGTGCATCCTAAATACCACAGTACAGTAAGGTAAAATACACTATGCAGCGCTAAATAAATGTAGTTTCTCAAAAACAAATTTTAAAATTCAGTAACTGTTTATGATCTTTATTGCGTAGGCCTATAACGTCAACAGTTCCTTGTAGAAAATCGTTCGGTTGCATGCATTATGCGAATATTTTGTCTAAAATTGGTACTGCAAATAAGGTACAGATATGATTTTTCTAATAAAAAAAAAAAATTAAACTTCATTTGACATTTTACCTCTGCCTCAACTTGTTCTTATTTTGTTTTTAATTTTTAAGTGATTTCAGCCTCAGTGTCTTATAAAATGTGTTTTTATAATAAAAAAAAAAAAAGTGTAAGCCAATAAAAACAATCAACTACGGTAGGCCTACATGGAAAAACAGAACAAATCATTCGTTTAAAAATAAAGAAACGTTAATTCTGTTTTAATACTGTTTCTTTGGCCTATTTAAATTGTTATTTGACCCTTGATTAGTTTGCATCTTTAATTGTAAATTCAAATTCTTATAGATCTAATAGATTTTTCTTTAATAACTTATATTCGGTTTTATATATTATTTTAAATTAATTCATTTTGTAAATTAAGAATTGAAAGTTTGTTTTTCCTTATCTGTATATTTTTATTACTATTTGTTTGATTATTTCATTAGGGCTACTTACAGTAGTCTAAATTTATTTTATATTTACTTTAATCAATTAATTTCTTTCTCTCTTCTGTCTTGTTTTACCATGTGTATTGAGGGTCCCTAATGATCAGTGATCAGCTTCGGCTGCATGGACCACCCTCATCAAAGACTATTGAAATAAAAATAAATGAATAAAAAAATAGAACAAGCAGTAGAGTTTAATCTAACATGTGCCTTACAATCTGATTGTCAAAAGGGGTATATATAATAAGAACATTTTGAGCCTGAAATCAGCAAAAAAAAAAAAAAAAGAAGAAAGAAAGAACGCTGAGCCTGGGAATAATGCTGCTGGTTCTAAAAAAAAATGTACATACGTATTGTGTGAAAAGAAATTAATTTAAGTGCAGACTTGCAAATACAAAAAGGAATACCATTATAATAATATCGTAAACAAAAGAAAAATGTTGAGATTAAAATAAAAGTCCTACCTTTTATGTAATCGTCCTTTTCTTGCTCGACACGACAATCTGGAGGAAGTAGAGACTGATGTGAAGATTTTATGTCCCACGTCTGCTTTTTATACCACCTGAGCTTGGGCCCTGAGGTGTCGGGTATCTACTTAACAGTAAACGGAGGTACGGTTTCGCCTGGTACAGATTGCTCCGTCCAGGTACGAAGATAATTAGAAAGATATGCGACACTTTCCACCTGTTGTCTACTTTAGGTAGGCCTTTGTTCGATTATGTGATAGGAGTAGCCCCGGTGGGGGGGGGGGAAGAAAAATATTCTATGCATTTTTTACAGATCGATTGACTCTAAAATCGATTAAATAAGAATTTTAAGTAGGTCTACGTACAGTAAATTGTAGGCTTCGCCCCTATACCCCCTCCGAGTGGTTATTAGCAACTCTGACGATGCCCACTTACTCTCAGCTCGTCGGGGACATCAGACCGGATATTCTCGTCCGATATGATGTCCAGTTTCAAGCAGGCTGGGGAAGACGCCTCCCTTCCCCCTGCTTTGAGATCCAGAGCCGCGGTTATTCTTGCTCAGCGACGATCTGGGCAGTTTAAGATGTAACTCAACCGCACCTGTGACGAAACGTAAAATAAAATTTACATTCACCAGTTTTGTTCTGTATTAGGCCTATATAAAATAACTTACAAAATACAGACTCAAGTAAAAAAAAATCCGATCTACATCTATTGACGTCATATAATCTCAATAGCTACGGTCTATGACAGAGCAATCACTGTCTGGTACAGTGTTATTAGCTGATCTACCAGATGGCCCTGTTGCCAAAAGCATTTGATCGAATTATACTTATTTATAAAATATTTTAAACTTGTTTGCAGGTACAGTAGCAGGAAAGTGGTACTCCATGGTATCGCCTCAGGTAAAACACATAATATTATGCCCAGCTGTGCGTTCTCCGGTGTTGTTAAGACTCAATTACTGTGATTTATGTATTTAAAAAAATAGTTAAACGTTCTCACAATCTTCAAAACTTCATTATTTTGCCATGCCTAGGACGCATCCTGAGTGAGTGTCGGTGAATATGTCGGGGCCATCTCCACCCCATTATTTTGTAGTCCTTATTAAAATGAAAAATATAAACCATGATATACAGACGTTGGTAAATAATATCTAGTGGATGTTTTCATAATCCTATAAAATATAAGTAGGCCTAATACCGTAAAAACTTGAATAGAAACCATGGGCTTCTTTTTTTAAAAGGACCCTTGGAAGGGCTTCTTTTCAAGATGGAATTCGAAATTCTGTTTGATATGTTTTTACTTGTAACCCTGCTAGTACAATAAAATATTACGCGCCTATGTTTTTGTTAAAATGAATTTGTAAAGCTTATCAGAAAATTACTATGCTAAATAGCAAAAATTAATCAATCGAATGCAAACTCAAATTAACGAAGGTGCTAGAAGTAAGGGGATTCGCCTCTTCCACCCCAACCAGGGGCTCTTCCCTAAGACTCTCAGTTCGGACATTCACGCCTCCTCCTATCTTGCCGGGCTGGATCCGGCCCTGGATACTGCACGCTAATATAATCAGCAAAGATAACGTCCGTCTGAATGCAGTACGAAAGGAAAGCCCATCTTATCTTGATTAGAAGCCAATGAGCTCCTTTTCGAAAACTAAAGAGGGAGACTTCTCGAGATGGGATTCTCGAGATTAGGCCCATTGGGCTTCTATTCGAGATTTGACTGTACTTCAAATTCCAAAAATCGAATGGTCTATTGCGCCATCAATAACATTTTTTCCTAAAACGTTTCATTTAAATTTTGATTGTGTTTTATGAGATACAGCCCAACCTGGAGTTCAATAAGAAATAGGCCTAGGCCCTATTTTATCCATCCATTAAGACTATGCATCAAGCGAGACAGTGCTAGAAAATACAATAGAAAACAGTCCTTCAAAACAGAACCAGCTCATGATTGATGCTCCGCGCCTTTTTTGATGATGTTTTCGTTGGTCTATAGATATTAGCCGGTCCTGACTCATTGTGCTTTTCTCCTAATAAATAATTGTTTGATTCTTACCTTAAAGTTGTAATTTTAATTCACACCTTGGGTTGAACATTGCGTTGGATGTGTGCTTCTCATTTAACATTTTTTTTTTTTTTTGGCTGTCAAAAGAAAAGCCCCTCCCCCCACCTTCCTTCCCTTGTAGATCCACCACGGCTGAGCACGAAATGAGTCATACACTTTCCTAAGAAACATTTGCATCAATAGACCATTTATATGTATTCTAGATCTGATAAATTTTAGAGATTTCTCCTGCTGGAGGTCGGTAAGGAGCGCTCCAGGAGGTACCGTAACTTCAGGCAAATAGGCTTAGGCTATGTTCACACACACGGCGTAAGGCTGGCTTAAGCCTGGCGTAGCGTACGCCTTTGTGTGTGAACTAGGCAGTGGCGTTGTTAAAGCCACTCACTACGCCACGTCCTTGGCGTTATTAACGCTACCTGCAGACCCCAGATTAGCTAACGCCAATGAGCTAACGCCAGTGATGCTTGAATGATTTGACCTCATTTCAAGAGATTGACCAATCACGATTGCAATATATTAGCTACTTTGGTCTCTTTTCTGTGCTCTCTATAAATGAAATGGTAAAGGGGTTCCTTTTCTATTGCATTGTACTTAGTTATAATGCATATGATTTATTGATTTGTGTTTTGTAAGATATTTTAACCATTTAGACTGTCTATTAAAACATGTAACATCAACAATGCTAGCTGAAAAATCAAAAGTAAAATTGTTCATTTAAAATACAATAATCATATAGGCCTAAGTTCACTTCGAACAATTCACAGATTTAAAAGTTTTCATGATGCACTGTTAATTTTACTACTGTTAACACGTACATTATTTATAACTGAAAACTATTCCACACCAGATAGGCCAATATTACTGCTAGTGTAACGAACGCCGTTTGTGTGAACACTTTGGAATTTTAATCCGTGGATTAGCTTACGCCTGGCGTAAGCCACGCCAGTCTTACGCCGTGTGTGTGAACATAGCCTTATATTACTTGATAATTTGTAGTGCAAGCTAATCTATTTCACGGTTAATGATTTGTCCTAATCATTCTGCGTTTTCAGGGTCATCTAAATTAGTGGTTCCCAACCTTTCTGCAATTGCGGACAATTTCGGGCATGTTAAGGTCTTCACGGATCCCCATACATATCGATAAGTTTTACTCATTGTCGATATTCCAACAATAAGATTATAGAGAAGATGATTCGCCCCAAATTACAACATAAAACAGTGGCGAAGCCCGATTTTTTAAAATTTAGGGACACCTCTTGCAAGGAGGTATTGATTCCGTCTGTCAAAAGGTATATCATTACTGATAAGGTACCCAAGACAAGCCCGTAGCCAGGATTTTGGTAGGGGGTTCTTTTTAATACTGAAAGGGCACTTGCGAGCACCATTGGCTGGGGCGAGGAGGCCGCCAAGGGCCCCCAGGTGTCCAGGGCCAAAACCCCGGTAGGGGTCCAGCATTCACAGGTGTTATTTAATTGATTTGAGAGGCCATACATTTAAAAAAAATGTATATATTAAAGAGGTAATTTTTTGAGTTGGGAAAAGATAAAAAAAAACAAAAAAAAAAAAACTACTACTTTAGTACTACAGTATTGGTAATTTAACAACAGTAG